CCGTAAGGGGGGGGGAGGGGGAAGGGGCTCCAGAGCCACCCCAATTCCACCGCCTTTCGGTCCTTCTTGACATCCAACACAGAAAAAAATCACCGGTAAGCTCATCCTATTTGTAACAGTACACCTTTACAATAAGATATAGTCAATTAGTTTTATGTTTACGGCGGTTGGGCTATTTCATCAAAAAGCGTGTATAAAACGAAGGATAACTGAATATTGCTAATGAACACCACCACGTCCACTAAAACTATGACTTTAACTGTCAACGTCGGAAACGGGCAGGAAAGCCTCTATGGATTCAGACATGACAAAGTGGGAAATAGTGCAGGATATACAAATATGTTCTAAAATTTTAAAAAGTATGTAGTATAAGATCCTAAAATAGATACAGCTCTATAAGAAGAAAAAAAGGTCAATAGGTAAAATAAAGAAGCAACGAATTTAAATAATCGGCAATTAAACTAAGCTAAGTAAAACAAAAAATATTCTTCGTTTACGTAAAACTCTGAAATATTGATTTTCAAATAATATTATAGTAGTGAAATTTATTTGATACTTCAATCACCTATTTTTGTACTAAAAAAAGATATTATATAAGAGTTGGTCAGAGGAACTACTGCTTCCGCAAATTAACACGTATACGAATTAATTAAATTTTTCTGTCTCCCTATGATTTGTTAATTGCAAAAAAACAGCATAGAACAATAAAATTAATACATCATTGCTTATAGTTAAATATATACTTCTACCTAACTCCGTGAGATAGTAAAGCGCTAGATAAAGCCTCATAGAAACAAGAATAATAATAAATGGGCAAAGAAACGGGAACTGAGAACTTAACGAAATGAAATATTCATATATAACAGAATTGATATGATAGACGTGTATATTTATCATAAAATTCGAATAGATAATCCTTTTTAGTGTGTGTTTCAATGAAAAAGATTCCAATTTGCTACATTACTCGATCCATAAATTTTTCACTGCATTGCTTCATCCTGGTAATGGTGCTCACAATTTTCTATCTGACTAATTTTACTCCGCTTTATTTTTTTCACCCATATGTAAAGAGTATTGTCAAATTACTCTTTAATTGATTTCTTCATACCCTTCAGAGCGTTTCAGTCTAGAAACAGTAAAATATAGAACAACGTTTACAAACCCTACACAAATTTACCAAAAGATTATTGACATCCGAACAAAAACTCTGCCTGTGAAACACAAACCCCTGAACATACACACATATATTGATATATATATGTATACATATATACATAAAGCGCATTTACAAGAAGCCTCAAAAGCGTACCAGATAACATCCCTGCTGTGCTGTATAAATTCTACATGTCATGAACGCTGCACATAATATCAATAGTAGCATCCTTGATGCCCTCAGACTTCTATTACGTGGGTAAATTGGACCTAGAACTTCTCATAAGTCAACATATCAGAAGTAGATATATCCAGATGGCCTAAGAATTTTGTTTATTCAGTTTTGCTTCGGTTCGTTTCTTAAGCATCATGTTACGATTCCTCTCAATAACATCCTCGGGGGTGTACACAAGGTTCTTCACTAAGCCCAGACGAGAGCCTAGCCAGATGGTCCACTTCGTTGGATCAAAGTGATACCAACGAATACCGTTGCGGTAATCATTCGCGAATTCGTGATGAAAGTTGTGGTAGCCTTCACCAAAGGTGACAAATGCACAGATAGCCGAATCGTGTGAACTGTGGAGATCAGAAAAATTCTGCTTGGCTCCAAAAAGGTTGGTGTGGGCTAGACTGTTGATGAAGAAGGTGTTGTGATGAACAAAGGCAATCTTGGCAAGAGAAGCGTAAAAGTATCCGCCCATCCAATCACCCCATCCCAAGCCACAGATCATTGTAGGCAAAACTATGCCGGAGAGAACGGCTAGTGGAAAGAAGTAATTGTGCTGAAATTGAACCACTTTGTTGTATTTATAGTCGGTTATGTCAACCTTTCCGAGAAGTGAGTAATTCTGTTTCATGATCATCCAACCAAAATGTGAAAAAATAAAGCCCCGCTTCGCATTGTAAGGATCCTTATCAGTGTCCACATAACGGTGGTGAATGCGGTGGTTACGGCCCCACCATTTGATGGAACCCTCAAAAGCGCCAGCCCCTGCAAAAGCGCACAAACACTCCCAGAAGCGGCATGCCGTATAGGAGCGATGAGAAAAGAGGCGATGATAACCAACTGTAATTCCAATCATACCGTTGAAAATATAAAATAAAAAGCCAACACATAAAGTGTTCCACTGCAACGGAACCCCCATCAGAATTGCACCGATGGTTGCAAAGAACGGCACACAAACTACTACCAAGGCAATATAGTTTATTTCATAATTGCCTGTGTGGAAACTTGGTACCTGTTGAGTGGGTTTTTCATGGGTTTCAAGCCCATTTAAATTCTGCTTTAATGACATGTCGTCCTTCTGCTTTGAATGATAGTACAAATGTGTTCAGTAATTGTTATTATATTTAAAAAATCTATAACCAGTTCAAGTCAAAATAATAAAAGGAATAGAAAAATGCATTAGTAATCATACAAACAAAAAACTTCGAAGTTTATCCCCCTCTTTTTAGTTCCTTTTCCCTCAATTCGAAAAGTAAAAAGGAGGAAAAAAGCTCCCTGTAAGGATATGCTAGACGTATCCAAAAATTAATCGAAATGTTAATGATAACAATTAGGCACTTGAACAGTGAAAATCCAGTGAAAATTTAAAAAGCGATTAACCAAGATTGAAAGTAAATCAGTCAATCAGTGTACCCAAATGCGAACCCTTTTGTCCTTTGAACCCGTCGCCACTTTTTGCCCGTCAGGACTCCAGTCTGTCGCATAGATCTCGTCGCTGTGGCCAGACATGTCTTCCACCAGCTCGCGCTTCGCCACAGACCACAACTTGAGTGTAGTGTCCTTGCTGCCAGAAACTAACATACGGGAGTCTAGACTCCAGCTTACGTGATACACCGCCGCAACATGCCCTCTAAATGTTGTGATATATTTTCCATCTGCTGCATTCCACAACTTGATGCTTTTATCAGCTGAGCAGGATGCGATCATCGATCCATCTGGACTGAATTGAATGTGAAATACAATTCCTTGATGACCTGTTATACGTGCAACAGGGTTAGCACTCGCCTGCGGGTTCCATAAGAACATTGTATTATCGTCTGAGCAGCTTACAAGCCTCTCCACACCATCGGAAGCTTTCATCACTCCCTCATAGCGCTTCTTAGCATATTCCTGCTTCTCCTCGAGGCTCCCAAAGCTCCGCTCCTCGTGGTCAAAGAACCCCGTACGAAGTACCAAGTCCGTGCTGAGAGCCAAAAAGTTCACCCAGTGGGCGTGCCCCCGCAGAACGCGCTGCGGGGACCCATTGGTCGAGTCCCACACGATCAACGTGCGGTCCTGCGAGGAGGAGTAAATGCGATCCTCGCCCCCCCATCGAACGCAAGTCACGCAAGATTGATGGCCGGACAAGGAAAACTGTACCCCTGTCGTGATATGCCACACTTTCAAGGAGGAGTCCTTGCTCGCTGAGACAAATCGATCGCACTGAATGTTCTTATGTAACGGCTCCCATGAAATATGCGAAATGTACTTGCTGTGCGCTTTGTGTTTTTTGCCACTAAACTTCGCGTATTCACCGTCGTGTCGCCATATGACGAGGATACCATCCTTGCTCCCACTGGTTAAATACTGTCCATCCGGAGACCATGAAAGCACCTGAACCCAGCTTGTGTGGAGCTTTAGCTCTTCAAATGGAGTAAGGGTGTTCATATCCCAGATTCGAATCTCCTTATCCCCTCCTCCTGTCGCCAATACTTGACTGTCTGGGGAAAAGGAAACAACAAGAATTGCTTCACTGTGGCCATCTAGCGTACCAGCGCAACGAGTCACTGGCTTCACACGAAATACAGCCTGAGGCTTGTACACGATGTCCAATATAGTTTCTTCTGGTACTTCAAATGTGAGATTAGACACATCTTTCTGGCGCACACGCCGGCCTTCCTTTAGCATCTTGTCCACATACTTGTTTTTTTGCGCCTGAAACAAGATGTCACGGACACTACTATTTAACTGTTCTCCATCAATAAAGAAAGCATATGGAATCACCTTCTGCTCCTCTTCCAAAAATGATGACAAAAGATCATCCAGCTGCTTGACTGTGGCCGATACAGGCAATAATATCTGAGTTCCAGTGGGCTCCCCATGATCGTCAATAAATCTAATCATTATATTTTGACCATCTTCACTATTGTCGTTTAAAAGGTCTTCTTCACGAATGACATCACGTCGTTGTTTCTTGCGGACTGGCATATTTGTGTTTACCTCTTCCTCGTATTATGTTGGAAAGTGCAAGCAATCAAATTATACACAAAAAAAAAGAGAATACCGAAGCATCAAATACCATGTCAACCTTTTTTGTATGCAGTAATATAGGTAGTATTAAAACACGTATGAAATATACAAAAAAAATATCCCATGTCATTAACAATGATAATATGTGCAAATAGGAGTGTTCGATAGTATGAACAACAGAACGGTTTTCCTTTTTTAAACTTACCATTGTTATTAAGGAAGCCTCAAGATGAAACTAGCAAACTGAACGCATACAAACTATAGTTTAAGAGTGTTTGATAAATACCAATGGAAGTTACTTAAATGGCGAAGTTGATTGAGGCAAATAAAGACAGTAATGCTTAACAAATAGCAAATGTGACGCACCAAAGCGATTCCTCAGAAACTCTTTACTGTTATGTAAAGATGTCATTCCACTTCTCGTTCTCGCTTATGGCTGTTTGGTTCTCTTGCTGCAGTGATCGCACCACTTTCACGTCTTGAAGATACCTCCTGGATAGCTGAAGCAACATTGTTGCTAACCGTTGTACAGGGTGATTTAGAAGCCCGCATTCTACCCATCTGATCCAAGACAGCCTTGGAAAGCAAAGTGGTTCCAAGATCACGTTCATACTCCCATGGTTGAGCCATTTCTTTGAAAAAGTTACGAGCCACGGAAACTGCCGCTGCAACACTTAGATTAGTATTGTCCTTTAGACATTGTTGAATCCAATTTGGAATTTTACGCCGTTTATCATTCAACGCAAAGCGGCGGTCAACAAAAAACATCATGCCGTAATCAACCTTGTTGCGCAAAACACGACCGATGCACTGCGATGCCTGTCGCATCGCATCAAAATTTCGAAATTCGCTTTCGGGTATCCCAAGGCATATCTCCATCCAATGCATCCGCTGCCGAAGGGGTTCGTCATTTGGTGGCAAAAAAGGAACGCCAAACATGACTACAGCGCGGCCGTAGTGGCGATCAAAGTCAATCCCCTCCGCAATCTTTCCTCGCGCAATCGACATAAAGATGGCACCACGTCCGATATCACATGCACGACGGTAGTTTGCCAGGGCAATCGAAGTTTCCTCAACTCCTTGCGTCTCGACAAACAACAGCTTATATTTGGCTAACTCCTGCAGAAACCCATTGCTGTGCCATGCAAGAAGCACCTCGCTCATGTACTGGTACCCTGTAAAGAAGCAAACAATACCGTCAGGGACTGTTTTAGTCAATTCCATAAGAAGATTCGCATATGCGGATATCACCAAGGCCTGAGCCTCGGGAGTACTACGTACCTTAAAGCTGCTGGTAAGCTCTTCTGCGGTGATACTAATACTTTCAGAACTTCTCGTGACGATAACTGGGGCGATGCACTTGCGACTCAGGGTCATCTGAAAGGATTTACTGATAACCGGAGTAAATCCAAGTATCTTGGGGTATATATCTAGCGGGGAGAGAGTTCCAGAGGTGAGAATTACACTTCGATACCGTGAGAAAATATCCCTTAGTGCCAAAGAAGCATCTACGCATACAGTTCGAATAACAGGATCAGGTACATGGGGACGAGTAGGGTCATGCGCCTCGCACACAACAACAAAACTAGGCTTTTCGTATCTATCATCTGCGTAGTATGTAGCCAGAGTAGTGTACATTTGAGCAACAAGCGATATCGAATAGTATTTGCTTGTGTTTGTTATTTGGAGTGTTGTGAGCAGAGCTTTCAACCGTTCCGACAAGTATTTAAGATGATTAATATCCACAACACACTCTTCCTTTAGCTTTGTAAGAAATGTTAGTGGATCAGCTACGTATGTTCGCGTGATTCGCGTAACTATACGATGCGTAAAATCTACCAAACGCTGCATAAATCCAAGAAAGTGATCAGCAAGCCGAAGACTACTTGGAATAGCTTCATCCGCTATAGATGCTGGTATTGGAGAGACCTGTACCGCAAAATTATTCTCTTGGGGTGGTCTTGCCATCTCTGTCAACGCCAGACCACTTACCAGTCGGTCATACTCATCCTGCAATTGCTGGCGGCTAGTGGATTTTAAATGATCAAGATTTTTGCTAAGGTCCTTCAGATTTTGCTTGGCTTCAAATGAATCTCTCTTCGTCAAAATGATAGACATTGCCTCAATGCATACATCGTCCACGTTGTGTCCCTCATCCATCACAACAATGGTATTCTCGTTTAAGAACTCACGAACAACTCCAGACACAATGGGATCCACCATGTACAAATAAGAGTGCACAACAAAATCAGCCGCCACGAGCGCTTTTCTTGCCAAGTAATACGGGCATACATGGTGCTCCTCACCGAAACGTTTAAGATCATCTAACGAGTAAACACCTGGGGGAAGCTCAATCGACGACTGGTCTAGTGTATCGAAATACGAGCAACGGTTCTCTTCTTGCCAAGGTGCTGTAATACTCCGACAACCAGTATCCACATCATCTGGACTAGATTTAGAAGTCACTTGTGAATTGACACATAGATTCTTCTTTGCGGTTAAACAAACACTTAACAAAGGTTTCAATCTTTCACATTCTATATCCCAGTGTTTTAAAAGCTTTTTCATCTCATTCATTGTTTTAGTCATTTCTTCGACTGTTCTTGTACAGTAAATGACTTTTCTTTTTTCAAGCGAATGGTGATGAAGATAAGCTACTAGTATCGAAAGTAAAGAAATTGTTTTTCCGGTACCAGATGGCATCTCAAGCACCATATGCCCCCCTTGATCCAGTCCTCGCTTCAACTCTGTTATATAATCTAACTGCTCCGGATAGATGTACTCATATGGAAAAACAACAAGAACTTCATCGACGTAGAACTTCATCTCTTTAGCGAAGTCTAAAACAGGAAAAGAAAGAGCAACAAAATGATGGTAAAATTAGTACAAAATAAGTAAAACAATTGAACAAGCAATCTGAGAAAGATGAACAAGTCACTAAAGAGAAACACTGACTAAGTAAAACACAATATGCGTGTTTAATAGAAAATGTTTATACAGATTGATAGCAGCAGGTAGGAAAGAAAAAAGTTCTATTTTGATTTTTTTTACTTTTCGAAAGGAGCACACACAGTAATAAGGGCAATCACGTATTAGATCGGTTACTATTTTCGGAATCTTAATAATGTCAACACGTCTTCATTCCCATTATATACCAGCTTGCTCATGTTAGTAAGATTGATATGTCGGTGCCACGATACCCCTTCAATATATCTAAGCAATGTATTTATATTTTGAGTGGTTACCTTGGGCACGTTCAATGTAGCCTTTTTGGATTAGCTCTTCAACTCTTTGTTTTATTGTTATCACATCTGGAGAAAACAGTGGTCTTAGTTGGTTTTGGCACTGAGCAACAAGATCCTCATGATCAATGGTGCAAAAACTCTTAAGAATTCTTACCAAACAAGTGTCAATTGCTAATTTACGGTCTTTGCCTGCCTCTGGCATAGTTTGTCCATTATTGAGAATGTTCGCCCAAGCAAGTGTTGGTGGAAAATTAATTTTACAATTACAGTCAGTGTAATTATCATTAACTATTAACCTTTCAGATGTATCCTCTACCTGACTCAACGGATATGAATGCAAGAGCACTTTATGTTTGGTTAGGGGTGGCAAACTTTGACGAAGCCGGGTACTTGAAATCCCATTCACCGTCATGATGTGATGAATACTTTGTTCTGGCATCGTATTGAATGAAAGTAAAATCAAAGCTTGAATACCGGAAACTCTGAAAATATATGTTCCCTGTTCATATATAGCTTTCAACTCCGCACTGCTGGCTTCATGAGACCAAACAAGAGCACGACCCTTCATATCCCTGAGATACGCATCCTGTAAGTGATTAAGTAAATCTTTTATAAAATGTGGTAGAATCAGAGAATTCTTGACTGATAAGCAGTCCGGCCAGATACCCTTCCTTGCAAACAATACTGAAACATCAAACGACAATGTTTTACCCAAGGACTGAAACACTTCAACGGCTTTAAATGACTTGCTGGTGAGAAAATCATTTAGCATACCCTCTAAATGTGCTGTACTGGTTGACCCCCATCTCTGTTTGATAATTTCAATGAATAACCATTCGTTAACTTCATGAAATTTTTTATTAGGAAAGGTTATTCTCTCAAACAAACGATCTTTTAAGCACAATAGGAAACAATCTCGTTCAACCAAATGCATTACTACTGAAACAACATTCTCAATTTCCTCATTTACGGAGTCATCCATCTTTTGAAGAACTATGTCAATATAGCTCGCGAGGAGCTCGCAAAATAAGACGTGATACTCTTGCTCTGTGTGAGGATTTTTCATCTGCACTTTTCCATTGAAAATACGAACCAAACCCTCCTGAACTGCCCTTGCAATCCTGAAATTCGATTGGAAACAATCAGTAACCAAGTGTTGAAAGACCTCTTGTAACTTAATTATTGAGGTTAGATATTGCACTACATTAGCTGTCTCTTCACCACCTTGAAGGAGCTGTGATAAATTGCAGCTTTCATTTTCGATTTCTTCTCGAACAGATGAAGATAACAATTTAATCCCAGACTTGTTACGTGATAATAGATCATAATACTTTTTAAGAGCATCCTCATTGCGGGTGTGTAACGCAAAAAAGAACCCATTATCAGAAAAAATCAATTTAGAGCGTGCTATAGGTAAATTAATGACAGTATTTTCTATACTTGATATAATCAATTGTTCTTCTTGATTAGAAAAGTACTCCCTGCAACGGCTTCCTACATTTGAAAGAACTTCGTGTACTTTTATTAAATAAGTGATTCCATCAGTATCGGTGCTCCACATTTGAAGTAAATTCTTGCATTCACCAGTTAATCGCTCTATATACGAATGTAGAAACCTGTCAAAGTAAATGCGCTGTATATCGCATGAGCGCAAAGAAGAAAAAAGATCCACTGCAATAGTGATCAATGACTGATTCATAGAATGCCCAAGGGTATCCTTGATCAATAAATCCTGAGTAATTCGACTGAGAATATCGAAATGCAGCTTAAATATACGCTCAAAAAAAATTCCAAGTGCAACCTGTTGAAGAGTTGGCTTAGAATGGTTTACAATAAAATACCGAGAAAGATAGCTAAAGGACCATATGCTCCAATTCATGAGAGATTTATAGCGCCCCCACACATTCAAAATCTTCCGGAATAAATCCATTTCGCTTGGAGTCGTAAGATCACGAAATCGACATAGATAACTCGTGAATATTTCATGATAATCCATATATAGCACTTCTCCTAGATCAGAAGCAGAGTACTCTGGCCCCTTAGAAGTGTTATGCGTTGCAGCGGTATAGACAATATAATAGTACTTCATACGAGACGCAGGATCAAGATAGCATTTAAAGTCTTTGTCTGGGAGATCAACTAGCCTCACCAAATCAACTTTCAGCTGACGTATTGCCTCTTTATCCTCCTCAAGCATTAGCGAAAATATAGTATCCTTACTTTAGATGAACACTTATTTCTATGAAATAGGTGATGGTGTGCCTGGTTTGTAAATTTATATAGTACTATATATATTGATTTATTTATTCTTTTAATTCAAAAGTTTCTATATACGATTCAAAAATGTCATTTGTAGTTCAACTATATATACATATATATTTATTTATTTATTTTTTTGAAAGAGAAAAAAAAGAGGGAAAAATATATAGTTACACCCATTACTAAAATATAAATCGTTGATAGCTTTTCATTATCATATAAATCTTTAAAATGGAAAAAAAATTGATAAAGTTGAATTCTTTCGGGATAAAGAAATTAAAGACATTCGAGCACCTTCAAAATATCATATAAGCCTTGTTGATATCATCTATAATACTTGATAATGAAGCAGCTGTAGTACAAAACAGATTGACGTGAAGTTCTATAGAATTAATAATTTCCTCAAATTTATCTAAAAGAAGTGAAATTGGATAATGATTGTAAATTAGTTCTGCAGTAAAACATGCACTCTTATCCTTGATATTTTTCTGTAATATACTAAATAATGTTTCGACGCTATTTGTGAGTTCAGAAAAGGAAAGAATTTCCATTGTATCAGCTTGTATACTAGGAGATGATCCTTTTTCCAGACCTATAGATGTAGATAATTCTAAAAGCTGCTTTAACTCTGTTTCTAGATCATCGAGATTTGAATATTCTACAATCGACGAATGATTTGAAAAAAAATGGTGAGCATCTCGAGTTTCATTTTCACACAAATTATAACAATGTCGAGCTCGATTCAAAAGAGCCTCAGTATCAAAAACCCTGATCCAGAAGTCGTGTTCAGTCTCAGATAGAAAAATATGTGGATATATTGCGACTAATTGCCTTGGTATCCTTTGAGTGTTTGCGTGCTGATACGGCTTGAGATTCACAACTGTGTTTTCAAAGGGAATTACAGAATATGCTTCGCCTTCAAAAGGAACACCTATCAATGACGAATTAACACAATGATTTGATTCATGAGAAAAACCGCTCTCATAGACTTCATATTTAACTGGCCGCATTACTATATTAATCAAACGTTTCTAAATAGAAATAAGAATACATACGAAATATTATATAAATTTTTAAAAACTTATATTAGAAACAAATCAATATATATGCAATGTATTTTTTTTATCAAGTACTATAGTATGATAGTATACATTTAATGCCTTTAGCAGAAGAGTTAAAAAGTTCATTCAAGATTGAGCTGAAGTCGAAGTTTGTTGTACACCATTGATAATCTTAACAATTTCTTTCTCCATATCAGAAATACGTTGGCAGAGCTCAGCGTACTCATTTTTTTTGCTCTTAATCCTTGCATCATAATCTGCTTCACATTCTTCAATTTTTTTCTGTAGGATTCGCTTTTCGCCCTGACTATTCAATATTTGAGTATCTACTTGAACTAATTTTTCGATTGCCTCAGTCTCGCCTGATTTAATTTGGCGTACAAAATCTGTGAGAATATCTTGGTGATCCTCGCTTCGCTGCTCAAACGTTGACTCAATGCGTTTAAGCTGCTCTTGAAGAATAAGCTGCTTTTCTCTTTTTAGAGCAATGTCTTTTAGCCGTTCAATGTACGACTTCTTCAAAGCTACCAAGCGAAGAGAAAACATGATCATCTCATCATTTAGACTCTGAGCCTCAACGGAAAAATTCGCCGAATGATTGCGAGCAGATTTTTTTAGTGAGGTTCTACTAGACATAATGATTTATAAATTTGATATGTTTATGTCTAAATAATTATATATAATAAGATAGCATTTAACGAAATGTATGGCAAGGGATAAAATTAGAGGACCAAACATGGTAAAATTTAAGAAAAGCGTCAATTATAGTTTCAATATAATCAATAGTTAAAAATAATACGACCATAAACGATAAATTGACGCCCGGTGTTCAAGGTTTTTGGTGTATTGATTTTTTTTTTCTTTCTCTTTTCCTCGACGGAGAAGCACATTTGATTTTTTTCATTCCGATTCTATACTACTAAAATAATAATGTGTCTGTGCTTTTAAACCACTCTCCTGCCTCAGAATATTGAATATGGGAAGCCTTTTGAATAAATGCGTGTTGTAACAACTCCGAGGCCGTTGGCCGCTGCTTCGCTGGTGCTAAACATAATTCAACAAATCTCATCAACTCACTACTAAAGCGTCTCTCGGATGTATTCCACTCAATCTGAGCTGTTCCTAAGGCAATAGCTTGACATAATTCAAACATCTTTGACTTAAGTGAATCGAATGGATATCGGCCTATTGCGCACTCAGCAATAGTCAAGCCGGCGCTCCAAATGTCACTATCAAATGAATAAGATTGAGATTTTATCCGTTCTGGGCTCATATATGGAATAGAGCCTTGAGAAGAAAATGTTTGTAAGTCTGCTCCAGAAAAAGTCTTAGCTACACCAAAGTCTGATATCTTGACTTCACCTTTATTATTTACAAGAACGTTAGCAGGCTTGATATCGCGGTGAACTATTTTAAGACTGTGAAGATACTCTAACCCTTGAAATAATTCACGCGCAATGTAGGCAAGCATCTCTTCAGTTAAACCTTCGGGATATAATTTAATAATATCATTCATTGTACCTGCATTCATATACTCCAAAGCGATGTAGAGTCTTCCATCACGAAAAAAGGCCTCATAAGAAGAAACTATATTTTTATGTTTAACTGCAGCTACTTGTCGCAGTTCAGATTCAAGGGCTAAACGTGTATAATCAGAGTCACTCTCAAAGACAATAGATTTGAGGGCATACTTTTCACTACTAATCTTGTGCTGAACAATGCGAACTTTTCCTTGAGACCCTCTTCCCAGTTCATTACCTATGTGTAGGTCTTCAAATCGTAATTTGTTCATTATTGCATCTGACTTTGGTTGATCCATCGTGGTTGTTGAGGGTACAGACTGAGCAATTCCTGTTTGCTTTACTCTCATCTCTACACCACCTTCACCCTTAACTACTAAAGTCATTGTGTCAGTAATCGATACAGACTGATTCTCGCGTGTAACCTGCAGCTGTTTTAGAGCACGTGGCCTTTTGAGAGGCATTTTAACAATAAAATAAAATGGAAACCGTATTGATATTTTCAGATAGCTATACTTTCTTCACTTTAAAATTAATTAAAGGAAAAACAATTATATAATTTTATATATATTTATAGATATATAACTATAAATATATCTATATAAGTGTGTATTTTTTTTTTGCTAAATCCAGAAAAAGGAAAAAAAACATTATTCGCGTATTTAAACACTACTCATCTAACAATAGCTTAATAACAAAGTGCCACTACTACTACTGAATAAAGGCCCGACCTTTTGGCAAGGCTGATAAGCTTCACATACCTGTCACGATAACGATTTTTTTTTATAGTAATCATAATTTCTTTATCCCCTCTTAATCTCATAAAACCGCCACACACCTAAATATCTGAAGGTTTCCCTTAGCTTATCCAGTTGAAACATATTAACATGAAAGCCCCGCCGCAAATTTTTTTTCAAATTTCAAGTGCGGACGAAGACATTTAATATCCCACCACAAGCGGCCATAATTTTTTTTTGCGCACGTACGAGTTAGTAAACTTAATTAAAAAACAAAAATAATTCAACTGAAATAGGCGCTTTAATTGTAGAAATGTATTTCCTGTTAAAACGGAGTAAGAATCATGAAGCCTTTATATTTAAAAAAAAATTCCTTAAAGGTAAGTTTTTAATGAAGTCGCTTCGCCATCTCCTGGAAAAAAAAGATTTTGATGCCTGGGCGTATTCTATTTTCTGGCCCCAGCAAGGGAAAGCACTCCATCTCCTTGATGTAGTAAGTGCCACGGTCGAGGATATTAAATTTGCTTACAATGCGTGGTCTCTGCTTCGACTAACTATGTTTTTTGGCATGAAGCATCCTAATATTCTAGGTGGTCTTTTACACACTAGACCATCAATGGATATAACACATAGAAAAAATCGATTGTTCTATGAACATGCAACAGTAAATGGCAAAGTAGGTCCCGATAAGATCAAAATTGCGTTAACACCCCAGGGTGCTAAAGTTCAACCCATTCAGTTATTCCCTTGGGAAGATGTAATCAAAAAAAGTATCACTTCTCTTAAAAACAAAGAGATAGAGTTAGTCTTGGGAATGGAAAATGGCATGTCCGAGGCCGTTTCTAGTCAATGTGATTACCATATTTTCATTCCTCAATATGGATCAATTGGGTCTTTATCAATGCTATCTGCACTTTCAATTGCCATCCATAAGGTTCACACGGCCTATCATCATCTACAAAAGAACACGAATACTACAGCACTCTTAAAAAAGGAAACTATAGAATACATTTCAAGAAGCAAAAGCTCATGTAATATTACTGACGCACAACCACAGGATTTGTGTATTGTAAAAAAATCTATTGAGCAGACACGTGTTATTCTAGAAAAGAGGAGAAAATTGTATCCTCTTCAGATCAGTATAATCATACATAATGACCTTGGTGATCGCAATATTGGGGCAGTTATACGAAATGCAAACGTCTTCAATTGTGAAGAAATGATTATTCTTAACCGGCGACGCTTTAACAGACGTGGTGCCATTGGAACTCAGCACCTACTTAACATAAAGTTTTACAAAGATATAAATGATCCTGAACTTCAATGTGTACTGAAGGAATATGTGATCTGGCTATTGTACCCATATTACCCATATCTTCAAATTTACTCAAATTTAAATCCAGATGGTATTAATTCCAGAACTTTTATTCAACATGAGGATGATGAACTTAAAAGTTGGCAATCTACTAATCATCGCTTGACTCCAGCGCATCCCCTTATTCAATGGTTTCCACATCTTCTGAATAGCGAACTTTTTCTAGATGATGAAAACGCTCTCTTTACGGCAATCAATGAAACCAGATGCAAGGGTTACAGAGGTATATTGCTTGCAGTTCCAGAGGAAGGTACATCTCCTCATCCAGAGCTAGTTCATATATGTTCGCGTACACTCTTCATTATTCATCAAAGTTACGTTAACCATGACATACAACGTGGACTGAATCCTGCTCTTGCGACATCCATTGCGCTTGAAAGAATCCGATTTCATATAAGCCATCTGACCTGATGTGCAGTATTGGATAATTGACTTCTATTTGATTCATTGATAGCAAGCAACTGCGCGATAGTTCTACGTTTCAGGTGCGTATTTAGATCCATATTTTACGACTTGTGACAATTAGACTTCAACAAAATATCCTTTATTGTTCATTTTTGAGACAAAGGTTGAGAATTCCCATACGATAAGGTATATGTAGTAGTATTTAAAAAATATTGTCGTTTTATTCTTAACAAAATAAACACAAAAGGTGGTTACTCTCTTTGCCATCAATATGATGAAAAAATTGCTATTATATGTAAATATTTATACAATACAATTTTTTTTTGAAGTGGGTTATCTTTTTGTATATGCTAATTTTTTGTTTGGATAATTTTTTGAAAATTAGACTTACTGAAAGATACAAAAATATACCTGTAATGTAATGAGCTCTCAGTGTAAAATAAACGTACTGATAATTTTTATGTAGCAAATGACAAGTGTGCACGATAAGAATGAAGCCAACAACGGTATTTGAGCTGCCTGACAAAAACTGAAGTGTATTAATCCCTGTGGTTTCAATACATTTATATTTTGTATAAATGTTAAGAGTATAGACTAG